TTCTTTCTCCAGTAAAACACATTATTTAACCAATAAAATGAACAACTCACAAAGAATCTGTCTACTGAAAGAGTAAAATAATTAGCTATCAATATTTGGCACCAAAAATATATTATACGTATATTTATATCCAAACCTGTAAAGAATCTAGTTCTCCTTCAGTGCTTATTATTATTATTTTTTTAGCCATTGGGTTAGCTAAGGTAGTGCTACAGCTTAAGAAAAACAGCAAAAAATTTCTCCTTTCATAAAAATAACTGTCATATTATGAAGGAATTTAATTTGAATTTACCCTCACTTTATTTTTAGGGAAGATTTAGTGAACGTAAACGTAGTAACTCACTATTGACAACAACAAAAATTCCAAATTTAATTTTTTCAAATTGAAATGTTTGCGAACAAGTAGTTCTAAGTTACACAATATAGTATTAGACTAATTCATAAAACAGCACGAGGAAAAAATTTTTAAGAAGTAATATTATTAAATATCTAATTTGCTTATTTGAAAGCTTTTAAAAGTTAACAGCAATGAATTATTCGTAACATAACGCATTAAAGAAATTGTTAAAACTGTAAACATATTCGTATGATTTAAATCATCATATTTTCAAAAGGAAATAAGGTGATGTGCTGTTTTCATAGTATCTTAGTTTTTGAATCAACAGAAAAAGTTATAAGAATTTGTCGAATACTCGATGATTAGTTGATGTTATTGATTTTTTACTTAAAAGATATGGCAAAATTTTTTTTAAGTACTGTACGCAAAATACGAAACATAAACACTAAGCTCAGTCTACGAGGATACGTCGACGATTAATTGTGTTTGCATAGCTGTGTTTTAGCGTGAAAAGTTGTGCCAATGGAACAAGTAAGATAGTAGCTAGTGAAATACTCCAAATGACAACATTTTTAGACACAACGTTTCTTGTCGTAGGTCTCTCAAACGATTAGAGTAATATCGTAAGCATGTGAATTCGTTATGTCATTATTTTATCTGAAAAGGATGTAAGAAGCTCCTCTAAAAATTAAAACAAAATACCTAAAAAATATCAAATATATTTAGACTTGCAAATTTTTCGCTCATTATAGTCTTGAACGGTAATATTTTGTAATCAGATATTTTTTTATTTTTTGTTATGCATAATTCTAAGCGTATGGAATGAGGTATCACAAAACGATGTATTGGTAAATATCAGGTTGACCAATACACACGTCAATAATGGGACTGCGATTGAGATCTGCAGACTCATTTCAAAAATTTTTGAAGGTTAAACATGATTGTCGAAGATTACTTACTACTGGAATCAAAATTAATATTATGTTTTTCAGATCAATCGTTGATGATAATAATGTGCGTCCGATAGGATTTTGAATAGGAAAATCAGATCATGAATAATTTGTGAAGTGACTGTGAAGTTAATGAACGTGAGTTAATGAAAAGATTGAATAAGTAGTGTCTGCTCAATATCATTTTCTCGTCATATCCCTACATTTTTTATGTTAACATTATAAAAACAACATATTGAATATATAATATTCAACAGTGCGTAGACATATATATAAACTTCTACGTGAGCAGGGTCAGCTTATATATATATATAAATNNNNTCTTACTTTTTTTCGCCATAGTTTATTGTCCGGATGAATTCGAGAGAAAGCCGCATTCTGTCCTACAGGTTTTTTTTAATTTATAAACTGTGACCTAAATGTAACAATAAAATTTTTACCAAGTAGTAATCCTTTTCAATAAGGTAGGATAGTGCGATTCCTAACTTTTTAAGATAATTAAGGTGCCTTGGGCGGTTACATTAGTACCGTACCTAGTGTAGGGTGCCATAAGGGCCCCTAAAAAATCAACACTTTTTGACGGTACATTTTTCAATAAATATAGTTATTTCGATAAAACTAAAGTATTAGATCAAGTAATTGCCAGAAAAGTACCGTGAAATTATAATTGTAAAAATCGGGAAATGTTGCGAGGCAAGCCACATGAACTCATAATTTTCTTCTGATTTTCTCTTAAGTTAAGTCGTTGACCCTATATTTTCAAGAATTTAATAGATTCGTTGTAAAAAAATACTCGAGAACTATTTTAAATTTTTAAGGTTAATCAAGTACTTCTAGATTTATAGCCGTTTTAGTGACAATTCACATGTTAAATTGGTGAAATTTTCAGTAGCAATTTGCAAAAAAAGTTAAGTCGTTGACCTCAGTATTATCGCAAATGAATTTGGCATACTTTATTTACATAATTTCAGAATTTCAGAAGTTTTGACCAAGCCGATATAAATCGCCCAAGCCACCTTAAACTTCGTTGTGGGAAAAATCTTTTTTTATTAACAGTAACTTCATAACTGTGCGTCAATAACTTTCCGAGTAGTGATTCTAAACTCAACAATACATTTTAAGATTACTTAAGAGAAAAATTAACTTTAAATGAAAAAAGTTAAACCTTCAATACAATTGCATCTTATTTAAACATTATAACCTTTGAAATGTTGTACATTTTATACAAAAATACATTTTTCTCATATAATACCAGTTTATGAACACTTAAAATTCACTCATACAAATAACAAAAAATACGATATTTAGATGATTCTGGTTGAATTGACAATCCAATTTCTAATATCAGTACATTTACACATATAGTATATAGTTATTTCTACTGCTACGACGTATTTCTCAATTTCACGTCAAGCGTATGAACTTTTTCATTACTAATAATTTTTTCGTAAGCAATGAGTTATCACTTTCGTAGTGCATAGATAGAAAAATGTTTCAATTACTCTTTTGAGTTATCTTATAGATGTATCTAAAACGTATTAACAAACCTATTAACGATATTTTTCACGTCGCAGCCCGTAAATATGTACAGCTTTTAAACATTGACGTTTCAAACTTGAGTGAAAGCGTATGTATCGGAGCACAAAGTGACAACTGCTGTTTTGTACACATTTTAACAGACTATATAAAACCAGTCAACAATTTTTTAGTGGTAAGTGATTTGACTTTTAACATATTAATTAGGAATGTAAAAACTAGAGGGTAAATTTTTGTTTCAAAATTAAAGAACATTTGGGACTAGCATAGTAATCAAAAAAGGAAGCAGTTGACTGTTGAAACTATACAAAAAAAAAAAAATTGTGTGTGACACTTATTTCACTTAAATTATTTAGACTTTTTTTTATTCTTTGGGCACTTAAACATTTAATTTCTTTGATAAGAAAAGTCTATGACTGTTAAATTTAACTGCTTATAAATATGACAACGAACAAAAAGTAAGGCATCAGCTTGTTATTTTAAACTGTACGCGTGTGTTTCGATGATATTTTTCAATTAATCAAACGTTGTTTTACAGTAAAACGTTTTATTTCGTAATTCCTTTAGGCAAGTTAACAACGATTGAAGCCTATATTAATAACTACAACTCACAATAAAGTTACGATTATTTCAATTTAAATTTTATAAAAAGAAATCTGACTTTTTTATGGAATCGTGTATGCCATTAAATTACAGTTAAATTGCAGTTATCATCACCTCAACATTCAAACAGCTGGAAGCTTCTACGAACGCTTGCCTTATGAAATTAAAAGTGTTTGTGAAGATGGAAAAAAATAGTGAGAAAAAGACTTATATATAAGATTCCAATAATAAGAACAAAAAAAAAGTAAGCTCCGCATCATGTATTGTTGCAGTGATTGTGGAGCAAAATATGAAAAAATTGCTGAACTTAAAAAGCACAGAGACTCTCACCTCTTCAAAAAACCACGTCCAGTAAAAAAAAAAATTGTCTCACGTTAGCTTCGCAATAGTTCTATTCATCCATGACTTTAAGTATTACACCTATTTTGTAAATTACTTTTTAAATTAAGAAGAATGAATTGCTTATGATTTTAAGAACACGATTAAATATTTTAAGATAATGATAATTGTGTTTTTCAAATTTTTTCTACTATAACCGCATATACATCTTTACTATTTATTTTTTACCATTGCCAAATCATTCCAACTTTTTACTACAAAAAACTTCTAGTGAACTTTTCTTTTCCAAACTCCAAACTCTACCGTTTTCTATCGTTCAAACATTATTAGGCTTAAAGTCTCTTCGATCAGATTTAAAAACAATAATTTTGAGCCAATACTATTGGAAATGAAAATTTTACTGAGATCAGAGAACCAAAAATTCAAAGTCTGGCCGTATGATCCTAAAATTAGACCATTTCGAGTAAAAGCCAAACCAGAAAAAGGAATTCTAATGCCGTATCTCTAGCAATTTACATACTGAAAAAATACATAAGATTATACGAAGATGAAGTAGACATGACTGCAATCGATACATTGACTTTTTATGATTCAGCTAAACTAATTATTGCAATTTATAGAGGTTGGGAAGACTGGATATAAAATCATTTTAACTCGGTCATATAAGAGTTATATCTTTGATGTAAGAAAAATATGTAATTGATGATCACTAACTGCAATTGTTTCGAGCAGCCCAAGATTCGGTTATAAATTTAGCTTTACGAGAACACGGGTGTAGTTACATTAAATATTTTTAATGATAATGTTCAGTTTATTTCAAAATTGAACTTGGCAATCTGTTGTATCGATGCAAAATTGTAATGCATGAAAAAAGTAAAATTTTATACGAAATGGAAAAATGAAACTTTCGACACATATGTAAAATTCAAAAACTTTTCTCAGTCTACCTTCGATGGAAAAACAGTTATAGGGATAAATATAGAAACTGCAGAAGCTTCACTTCGGCTGGCGATATTAAAATACAAAAAGAAAAGCTTCGAGTGTCAATGTAGGTGTATTGTGCCATAACAGCAAAAAATTTTCCATGATAATTTTTTAATGTTTAGTTAGATCTTAACAATAATTACACTTGATCCCCTAATAGTACAAATTAAAATTTGAGCGTCAATTAAGAATTCATCAAATGATTCGGTATAAAATTTTGAGTAGCTCTGACAAAGGTACAAACTGTTTCCTTACAAGTCAACGTCACTTTGTTTGCAACCACAACTTGTAACTATCATGTTTGGAAACGATTGTAGCACAATCTCATCGGTTTTCGTCCAGCGAAGAATCCACATGTCCGATATACTCGTGGGAACACAGCACTCCTCTTTTGAACTCCGCTGAGGGATATGATCGCCAAGCCAAGGCTTTGATTGAACAGCTGTCTGAAAAATGATTCGAAACAGATGTCAAACTCAACTAATAGGCGTTGAAAAAGAGAATTATAAGATAAAGAAAGCCCATTTTTAAAACAAGGGGTTTTGCGTGACACATTACTCAAACTCAAAATCCCATGTTCTGTAAGTTTTGTGTATCTTTATCTTGAACTGACCAATTTTGTTTGTTTCACATCACTCTTTTTATTGGTAAAAAAAAAGGTGAGACAAAAGGTGACAGAAAAAATTTCGTAGTTTGTACGTATTTGCAATTTTTTAAATAAATTAAAGTGTATCTTAACAGTGCTTATGATTCAGTTGAGAATAAAATAATAATTTTTTTCCACAATGATACTAACGTAATCAAACTTTAATTTGAGTCTTCATAGAGTGAAAACAAAGGTAGTAAGATAAAAAATTTCAGACAATTGAGGCTATTCAAATTATAAGTAACAAACTCAGCGAAACAATGGCGACTACGTATACAGTGCATGAATTTTTTGAGCTTATAGATGACATAACAGGTGGACAAAGCAGTTTCCAAAGATAGTTTTCTTTATCTTGTGATTTTTTAGAGACTGCAGCGACCACCCGTACATAGCCATTTGAATGTTCTTTGTTAAAAAAACAGAGAAAAGTAATCTTGATAAAGCTTAAAAAATGTTCGGCTGTAGTAACTAACCAACTACTTAAAATAAATTACTTTTTTTGTGAGATTCTTACATTGATCTTGTCGTAGTTAGTTCTATACTTTTGCGCCGGGAGCTGACAGTGTCCTGCACACTTGCCTCGGCATTGATAGGCGTTGTACCTCACTGGTGCGACGATGAAGTCCTTCCCTTGCTCCTCGAAATTCAAGAAATAATCGTGCATCTCGCATTGCTCGGCATCTATCTTCTGTGAAATATCGGTAACATCGTTTTGCTTTGATTTTGCATGATGATGCCCCCTTACCGATTTGTTTTTCCTGGTTTTTCTCACTTCCTCGAGCGCATGGGATATCTTGCGCTGCTTCGCACTCAAGTAAATTATGTGCGGACTCACTAGTGAGTAAAGTAGTATGGGCTCTGAAACTAAATTCGTACAGATTGAATTAGAAAACCTTCCGTGATTTGAATGTGAGTACCATTGATGAGTACCCGATCAATGAGTAATAGGGACACATTAGACGTCACGATACGCAGTAAATTTAAATATGCGCATCAAGTTAATCATACTAAGATCTAAGAGATGGATTTTCATAAGCTCTGGAAGCAAGCTAAACTATAGCTGATTATATCAGCTAATATTCGTACGTGAATACAGAAATATGTGGATGCAGATAAAGTGATGGACAAACTATTAAATTTCCACTATGCATACCTTATGCAAATAACTATAAAATGACGAAAATTCTTTACCGGCTAACAAAAATTATAATTTTTTTTTTATTGAGCTTTCTGTTTCTCAAAAGTATTAAAATTTACCGCTGTCTCTATGTGACGTCTCATGGGTTTGTCGGATATAAAAAGGCGTTTAGATTATTGTTTCATTATGTAAAAACTAAAAAAAAATTGAAACATGTAGGTCAAGTTATAGATTAGCTTTGTCCGATTGATTAAAATTTACTGTGTTTCAAGAAAATGTTTCTTTGAGCCAGACGCACCAGGTTTATTATCAACATAGATTACTATGAGGATCGGTTGCTTGTCTCTTGGCTTCTGGTTGCGACGAACATAATCGATATGTATTTGATGGTCACCAACTGTAGTTGTTACGAGCAGTCCAAGATTCGGTGATGATGATGCCCAGGAGTGCACAGCCCTAGTTACATCTAATATCTGGAAATGTTGCGTTAAATTTATTTATAAATCAAACAAGGTCATCATGTTTTGGTGTAAAATTGTAATGCATGAAAATAGTAAATTTTTCGACGAAAGGGGAAAATTAAACTTTTGATACATGTATGTGTGGACATTGTATTTTTTTCTTCCATGTAAGAAATAACTTTTTTTTCTTTTTTTTAACGAAAATACTTGTAAAGAAAATACAATGATAGTCACCAGTAAAAGAAAAAATTATTTCGTAACGATTCACTGGTATTCAAAGATATTATAAGTATTTGTATTGACGAAAAAATTTCAGCATTATAATCAAAGTATTGAATAATATGGCTGAGCACTCGATACCAAGCACGAGTACCGACAATGGTACCATCATTGTGATTTTTCACGTCTACTCAGTAAGTAGTCAATAGTATACGTTAAAAGCCTGAACTGATCAATGTACATTGCATGGATACGTGTACCATTTTAAGTGTATGATAAAACTTAGTAAAAACTTGGTAGGTACAGGTTTATATCGAAGTTTTTATGATGAGTATGTTCAAGAACATACGTTTCATATTAATGTAATTTATCAACTAATATTAGCTTCAAAAATATTTTTTCAGAAGTATCTGATTTTTGAACATGCCGATAATTAGAGATTTTCATCAAATATCTTTTGAGTCTCACAAATCAGCCTAATAAAACTGCTCAAAAACATCAAATTGACTTCAACAAAATTTTTGCATGATCAATTTTTGAGGTATGGTTATACCTTTCTTAACTTATTAATTTTTATTATGTATACTTTGCTCTACTTATGAAAATTTTTTTAACAATGGTTTTTTTTTCTCCACCGTTTTTTATTCAAACTGTATTAGGCTGAAAGACTCCTCGATTAGATTTAAAAAGCCATGATGATTTTACTTCAATACCGTAGGAAATAGAAATTTCATTGATTTCAGAGAACCAAAAATTTAAAGTCTTGCCCTACTAGCCCGTTTCAAGTAAAAGCCAGACAAAAATAGTAGTTTTCCTACGAGTTTGAAAAGTCTTTGTTTGCGAACCGAGAGGTTTGCGGCCCGAGCCGAAGGTGAGGGACGAAACGAGGTTCGTAAAGGAGACTTTTCGAACGAGTTCCGGAAAACTGCTTTTTCGCCCGAGGAAGTACCAGCCTCCCAAAACCACCCGAGGGCGGAAAAGGAATTTAAATGCCACATCTCTAGCAATTCACATACTGAAAAAATATATACGGTTAGACGAAGATGAAATAGACATGACTGCAATCAATACATCGACTTTTTATGATTCAGCTGAACCAATTATTCTAATTAATAAAGGCTTGGAAGACGTGATATAAAATTCTTTTGACTCAGATCCCAGCAAACACATTTTCTCAAGATTTCTTGTAGAAGTCTTGTAGACTTCTAATGTCCATCAGAAAGACATTTTTGGGGTAAAATTCCCTATATGTAAGAGTGGAGATAAACTTATTTGTTCATAAGAGCCGACAAATAGTTACATTGTGTTTTATCGAAAATATATAGATTTTTTTTACTAGGTGGAAGTTATTATTTTATTAGTGTTGTTGATACGAACGATACATTTATTTTTTCTTGCTATTATCTCAAATATTTACAGTATATTAAAAAATTACGTCTAAGGATGGAGAGAGTCGGGATTGTTAGTAAAACGTTATGATTTACCACTGTTTTGGGGTAAGGTATATTCAAGGCATTTGAAAAATAATAACTCACCTGCCAACCGGAAACATCAGCGTTGACGACAATCGTGTGCAACTGATCGTGCAGACGAGGCTCGTCCAAACTGCGATTTGGTAAAACTTGGTAGATCCTAGTCTGCATAAAAATAATCTTATGGTAATTAAAGCACTAAAAAACTGTTTTTTTGTCGTTTTACTTGGTTTGTTAAAATACGTACTTTCTGCAAAGGTAAAGACATATCCGATGAGTGTAATAGACGGGCTGATGGACTTCTTTTATACAAATTGAGGTAAGCCTTCTTTATTATCTTGGTCTTCAATTTTTGTATACTAGAAGTATTAAACTTGTAAAAATTCGGGGACGGATCTTCGACAGCTGCAATAGATCGTATCGATAAAATCGATGCATAGTTTGTGGATTGATACAATAATTTTCATTAATATAAAATTCATACCTTCCTCAAGGAAGCACCGTACAGAGTCAAAAGGAATATCAGTGGCGTCGGTCTCTCGGCTCAACATGTAGAGCTCCCTCATGTACACTGGTATAGTCTCGTTACCGTGAGCTGTTTTAAATTCATGTTTGTTTAAGGGTAAAATGGAGGCATCAGCAATTCTCATCACTACTAATAACACCAAAAATATCGTTATTGACGACATTTTTCTACTCTTTCTCAAATCTTCAAGCAGAGGAAAAAATTTTAAACTCACTTATAACACTATTGCATGAAAAAACCACTTTTGTGATTTAAGAAAACAAAAAAAAATAAACACGGCAATGTTGTGGACATACTGTTTCGAATCCAACTGGCATGCACTGCTAGTAGGCAAATAACAAAGCCTTCAGAAATGTTTCCGTTTCAAAACTCTTACACACACCTCTGCGCTTGCTTATCTTCCCTACCCGTGTACTTATTGGCCAAATCGCTTAATATGATTGGTTTTTAGAAAAAAAACTACTGTACTGTCACATTAACGGAAACGAAGAAAATCAAGAGGTAAACCAGTAGCGTAACTAATTTATGTAGGGCCCCCTCCCCGCGGACTACTTTCAGAAGCAGACGAAGTCTCAGCAATCACGCTGCTAATAATGCAAGAATTTAATTCTCAGATTTTTAAACCGTAAAATGACAATTCCTTTTTTAGCAGCGTTATTATTTTCTGTAAGTAATAACTTTTTTTAAGAAACCTTAGTTTTCTAATCATTTAAGTCTGTATAAAATTTATATTCAAATCTTTTTCCGTACTTTTTTGATTCACGCATCAATATATTAATAATATAGTTCAAAAACAAAAGACAAACCTTTAGTGTACATAAACAAGTTTTAAAAAAAGATACATTTTTTTAAAATAAATTATTGTACTATCCAGAGTTTTTATTCAAAATTATACACTAACTTGAGGTTCAAAAAGTGGATAGTTTGTACAAAAAAACAACAATAAATGAAACAAAAGAGATATCGTGAACTTCGTCATTGGTGTGCATCTCTTTTTATCTTGGTGTGGCGAACAATTATTTGTTTTTCCTATGGATGGTACAACAAACGTCCAGCAAGTAGTAGAAACAATACACATCCAAATTTGTACTTCTTTCTATTTATTAGATAACAACTATAGTCCAATGACAATAAATTGATTTACAGTCATGGTTTGACTGAGAAAAATTTTTATTTTCCGTAGTTATTAGTTTAAACTCGAGTCGTTTCTCTAATCATATTTTATATTTTACGTTCTGAGTCAATATCTTTGAATATTATTGCTGTGTCTCTATAGATATAACTTTATACATACTGTGTTTCTTTATGAATTATTGTCTCTAACTACACTGATTTAAAATTGTATTTACTATCTTATATGGCCATATTCATACTTTTTGTAATGTTACACGTACATTTGAATGTTTATGTATTAGCGTCTCTGAATAAATTTTGAGTAGAGTTTTATCGTAATGTTAACTTTTAAATTTCAAAACTTGTGTTACCTATTTCTATATTTTATACTTTTCCAAGTATGATTCAAATTTACATTATGATAACGTTTTATCTTGACTACGATACTAATGAGTCCACACGTTTAGATTCCTGTTTTTTTGTTTATCTCTAAATTTTTGTCCTCAAGTCTTTTGGTCGATCATATTTACTTAGATATATGTTATATGAATAAATCCTTAAAAAATATCCGAAAGTTATTTTCTGCTTTTAAGGAATAGTAGTTTTCCTACGAGTTTGAAAAGTCTCTATTTGCGAACCGAGAGGTTTGCGGCCCGAGCCGAAGGCGAGGTCCGTAACGAGGTTCGTAAAGGAGACTTTTCGAACGAGTATCGGAAAACTGCTTTTTTGCCCGAGGAAGTACCAGCCTCACAAAACCACCCGAGGGCGGAAAAATTTTTTTTTTAGGCACGCCTTTGGAGCTGGTCTTATTGTACTTGTAATTTCATGCAGTATAACAGAAAATGCGTGACAAACTGTTTTTCGATTTTTCTGAATTTTTTCGATGAATTTCAAAGACTAATACGGTCAATAAATATATAACTTTTTCTTTTGTTAACAACTTTGTTTTACCGTAAGCTGTTAAAATGCAATAAAAATCTGAGTGAGGGACTCCAAATAAGCTTCAATTTGATTACTAGTTGAAGTGAAAAAATTTTTTAGTAAAAAAGTTATGGAAAATTGAATTTTTGCTCAAAATCAGAGCATTTTTAACGTAAATTTAAATGGCTCTTTACTTTGATCTAAGCATAATTTTTTTTCTACCACAGCTCAAATTAAAGTTCTTATCAAGCACCTTTTAATAAGTTTTCAAGCCAAAACTTTGATTTCACCCTGAGCTGAATGGTGATCAAAAACATCATATCACGAAATTAAATTTTAATCAGAGGGGTAAGTCTTAGGTTGTGGCTTATCTTCTAATGGAATGAAAACATTCGCTTCCAAATAAGTCAGTAGCATTTAAAAAGAGCTTTAACTTAAGCAAGCTTCAGTTGAGCTTAAAATGCTAATTAGGAAGCAAGTTACGGGGATTTCGAGTTTGAGTTAGAAACTGATGAGATATCTCATTTTAGGTGTACAAAGTTGATTTGCTGCCGTATTCTGAAAAAAATTTGTAGTTTTCAAAATGGGTTCCTCTTGTTGATAATTTCGAGCTCTTGTTTAGAATGTAGGGACATAAGTAACAGAAAAACGAAAACAGGGACGAGATGGGATCATGGACAAAAAATTGGAAGCACAACTGAGACAGCTAAATAAACGTATGTAAAAGAACGGTGGTAGACTATGAAATAATAAAAATCATATTACCAAAATTAAGTAAAGAACTAAAAAAGGAATTAAAGACTATTAAATTATAATTCGAAAAAGAATAGAAAAAAAGACCCATGCGATGACCTTTTGCTAAATAGTAAAAACGAGAAATTCACGAATGCATCGTGATCGAAACAGCTTTATGAAAACTTCAGTACTAAAACCGTACAAAGTATTTTGACGAAGGATGTTACAACGAAGCAGCATTTTATCAGCCAAAGCGAAGAAAGGCAGGCGCGGTATAAGACGAGAAAAATAAGAGAGTGAAAAAAAAGCGCCGAAGAGAACTCTCATGATTGATTAACTTCTTTTTCTTTGCGATGATGATGAGGAGAAGGAGGAGACGAGGTCGAGGAGACGCCGGGAAACGCAATTATAATCTTTATTCATTACCGAGAGTCAGTAGAGCTTGTGGTTTCAAGATACGATTCTTTCCTTTCTCCTCCACCCTCCCTCCCAACCCCCCCCCCTCGCTCTCTGTCTTCCGGATAATCAATATTAATTTAGTTTTGAAAAAAGACGATATGACCAAAGACGCCTCGTTTTATTTTGTGCGAAGGGTATTTTTAAAGGCGACTCATTTAATTTCTCGAGCCTGAAACGAGACCTGCCGAGAAAATTCAATTTCTCCCTTTGTCAACAGCCAAATGCTTCCTGCACCCTCTAAATATTTACACTTTTCACACATTGGATCGAGTTGGTTGAAAAAATGGCTGAGATGTAAAATTTTTTTTACCGGTCAGTGGTACATTTTAAACAACCACGTGCGACTCGACGTGGATTGATTGATAAATGTTATTCCAATCGAAGTAGGTACGACGAATATTTCGCGTTCACGTGCTCCTACTTCTCACGCCCTCAGCCCCCCCCCCTTTTCTCCCCTTGCACGCTTCGGGGTGAGTGTAAAAGGAAAATTACACTCGAGTGTTTTTCTTCGATTATAAAAAGGGAAACGTTTGGCACGAGAAGTACCCGCATCGATTTCCATCTCCCAAAGCCGGCAGAGTCAATAAAAGTTGAATACATAATGGCATCGGGGTAAACCGATGCTGTGTTAAAATTACAAACAGACACGGTGTGCTTCCTCGCGTTGGGAATTCATTCGCTCGGATGTGGTTTGTATTTGCAAAGGAGAACGTTACACCAAATGTTTTATTTTAATATAAAAATATTCGCCGTATGGTAGGGTAAAACACTATGTATTTAATGAAGAAACGTAGAGTTTCAAGTAATCCATGGTACGATTGCACACGGCATTTCAAACGAAACAAACACACTTGTATTTTGATGAATGAGAGTCGAATGAAGGAAAAAAAAAAAAAGCTAACTCTAGCTCAAGTCAAATCAAATAGCCGTGAAATAAGCGAAGCAAATACGCGAGGAAGAAAAAAGGGAAGGGGGGGGGAGAATGGTGTATATAAATCGAAGCCCGTTGTGCGAAATATGGAGAAAGGGAGGACAAAAAAAAACACGATGGGGCGTCTAGCCTAGACTCGCGCGTGCTGCTACATGCAAATGCAATATCGACGAGGAAGGGAGAGAGAGAGAAAGAAAATCTTGTACTCTCCGCGGTAGGGGGTAGGGGGAGTTGTGCCTGTGGGGTGGGAGTGGAAAAAATTACGGCAAAGTGCTAAACGATCGCAGCACCCAAAAAGACAGACTGAGAGAGAGAGAGAGAGGTAAAGTGCTTTATACCGGGTAATCGGGGGGGGGGGGACCGCGGCTTTCCTTATGTGAGCGCGCTGCGGCAGATTTTTCAGCCAGGCTATGCAAATAAGCCACTCAGGTCTCGAGGGCTCGATTTGCCCCCACACCCCTTAGGGTGATGTCTCTGACTTAGCTCAGTAATACTTTCTGGCAGTTGACTTCCTGTCAGTTTGTGGTTCTCGATGTACGAGTGATAGCCTTGTATTGACACAACTCGGGGTTGTAAGTGGGTGTATACGAGCGATCGAGAGATGCAAATAAGCATTTTTTTAACATTTAACGGTATAAGTAGTGCAAAAGAAGCATACTAAAAACTTGATTTAGTCAATCTTAATCGTCTAAAAATATGCTTTGTCGGACGTTTTACGTGGTTTAAAAAATGTTTCAAACCCAAAGTAATATTTCTATGAACTCGAAAAAAATATTTATCAGTGTCTATTGATAGAACATTTTTAATTCAACAGCTCTCAAACTTGTTCTTATCACCATTCAATCACACGATAGACTAACTTACAGTACAGAATGTAAAAATTTATGTTGATTTTGAAAAATGTCACATGTCGTGGAACAGGATGAAATAAACCTATCAGTTCATGTAATTTCTAGAAACAGAATAACTCCAAATGTTTTGTTAAAATCTGTCTTCGGAAGGCA